ATACATACATACATACATACAAGTGAAACTAATAAAAGCGTGTTAAAAAGAGGGATGTAATTGAATGCGATATGTGAGCGTAGATGATGTGGGGATATTGTCAAGTGGAAGTTTAGGATAAGAGTGGCCAAACCCAAGTAGTTGGGATTAAGGCAATAAAAAAGAAGAAGGGGAGTGAGTAATTAATGATTTTTTATTTTGTCTGTTCACCGCAGTAAATTTAGTCTATACTAATTTGTATTTCAAAATAATAATTTTTTGTTTTCAAATAATACTTTTCATTGTAAAAATATATTTTTGTATATAACTAAAATTTATGTAATATTATGACTGTAATGTGTAAACATTTAGTGTGCAACAGAAATATATTCCTAATGCTTTGTATTACAGCGATATATTCAAGATATTTTATTCACTTGGTGATGTTTTTATTTATTTGGTAATAAAAATTAAGGAATAAATATGCTATAAACAAATTGAGTTATCGAAATATACTTTGGGAACCATTGTTTTCGAACTCGATTTAGTTGAGGTACTAAACACGCGGAGCGCTTAAGACAATACCTGAATGATTAACAAGGCAGTGGCCAATCTATTAGTATACTTGTTCAAAGTTGTAATTAAGTATTTAATTATGCCTAAAAGAGTAAAAGTTTCTAGATCTACGATTCGACACACAAATAGTAATTTTTCTCCACCAAGAACTGGTAGAAGTTCTGATTATTCCACAGTACCGCTTAGATCAATGTAAGTTAAATTCAAACTAATTAAAAACATTCATATCAAATGTGTGATAAAAATGCTTTAATTTTTAGTTCATAAGTATACTTAATTTTATGCAATATTGGTTTAACAATTCTTTGGATTGTTTATATTTTTATTGTTATTATTTTCATAAAATAATTTTCTATACAATTTTTTTTTTTTGATAGTTTTCGAAAGAAGTTTTAAATCTCAATTAAAATATTATTGATAGTGACAAAAAGTCTTAAATTACTTCTTATTACTATTTATAAATTTTAGGTATTAAAAAACAATTTAATTATTAATTCTTTTAATTAAATTTACAAAAAGTTTTGATAAACCTATATTTATCAATAAAATTATTTTGCAATTATCAATGCTAATAATAGTATTTTGACTTTCCATATCAAATATAAATAATAAGTATATGGCCTAATGCTCTATTTAAAGCTATTATTTTCAATAATACATTACAAATAAAATCCTATATATAATACTAATATTTAAGAAAGTATTTGTGTCATGACACTAAATGGCTCATTATAAAATAGTAGAAGTAATAACAAATTGTAGTAGTCAAATGTATTATCTTAAAACAAGTTTTCAATAGCTATACACATCATTTAACAATTTTGTTATCATATTAATGTAATACTCAATTTTCCCCCTCTCAATTAAATTGTTGTATAAAAGATGAATTTTTCTGTTCTAAATNCCCCCTCTCAATTAAATTGTTGAATAAAAGATGAATTTTTCTGTTCTAAATATAAAGTAATTGTGTTACATATTGAAATTTAAATAAATATTTATTACCTTTAGTATACCGATTGAACATTCGTTTTTGTTTTATATCTATGAAACTGTTTATACACATACATGTGTTTTATCGTAAATATAACTGAATTCTATTATGAATACATTTAAATAGAAATTTTAAAATACGAAATCAATACCTTTGAAAGCTGATTTTATATATTTTTGGTTCATTAAAAAAATAAAAACCAAATTTGTTATTTTTTGATTATTCAAAATGAATATCTTTAGAAGCGATAGTGGTACATCCAGAAGAATATCGCCTCATTCAGTAACTACTACTAAACAAACTAATGGAAGCTCAAGGCATGGACACCATAATCAGAGATCTATGTTAGTAATTGTGTGTGTTTACAGTATAAGTATTAAAGTAATCTTTCATCTTATAAATTTAGGCATACGGAAAATCCTCCATTAATGAATAATGATGATGAGTATAAAAAATTAGATTCATCAATGTCAGTATTTAGAGAAAATGGGAGTATTTTAAAACCAGATCTAGAAGAAAATACACAAATTGTAAAACATTTTGTTCCTTCGATTGATAGGTAGGTTATATGACACTTGGAAGTTAACTACATTTTTTGTAAATCAAAAATATTGAACAAATTTTTATGGTAAATATCAATTGATTTTTTAATATAATCAAACTCTTAATTTTATAGGACTGAATTATGATATTGCTTTTTTTCAAATGTTATTTAATAGTTTATATTGTAAAAAATTTCCTGTTAGTATTTAAAAAATAATTTCAATTCTGTTCATAGAAATTATTTTATTTTATCACATGGTGTTTAAAGTAAAGAGATTTGTTTTTAAACTCATTTTTCTTAAAAATAGTTTATTTTTGTATATATTTTTTTTTTATGAAAAAATCTATTTTTTAATATTGTTTTATTTACTATTTCAAGATTATTTAGAAAACAAATTTTACCTTTCTTTAAAACTTCTACTATAACTTAAACATATATAATTCATATATTTATAAATAAAACAAAATACTTGAGTTTTTTTTTTTTTTTTTTTTATAGAACAAGTTTATTATATATTTTTGAATTTAAACCAAATTGATGAAAACTTTATGAACTTATAGAAAAAATAATTAAATTAATATATAGCTGATGTAAATAATGAACATTGAATTTTTATAGAATTTTAATTTTAAACAAAAAGTACTTATTTATTGCATATAGTCTTTGATCATTAATTTTACTTGTAAAAATAAACTTGAAACATTTTAAAAAAATTGATGAACACTTATTTGTAAAATTTCTTGCTTGAAACTCATGAAATTTTCATTCATAGTTGTTCATTCCATTCTGAAGCAACAAAAAAAAAATGGGATATATTAATTTATTAAATTATTTAGTTAATAATATGATTGAATTGACTACAAGTATTTTTACATTGTATAGTAGTTGTGTAGCTGAAACTTAGAAATTTAATTTGTTAAGTTTGTATTGACTAATTGATTACCATTATTGTGTAAAATATTAAATAGATATCACCTATCTCAAAATGTTCCTGAAAAACCTATATTTAGAGGTCCTGAAACTGATGTTTTACATGATTTGGAAAAAGATAAACTTAAATCAATACGAATTCAAATGATTAGGGCAGATGTGCAACAAACTGATTCATACCGTAAAGCATATGTAGTTGAAGATCATGTACCTAGAGTGAAAGGTAGGTGATCTGATTTTGAAGGATTTCATATGCTCTTATTATTAATTACATTATTGGAAAGAAACTTTTAATTACAATAATTTTGTTTAAAATTAAATGAAAAATTGTTTTGTGTCTAAACTAATAATAATCATAAAAAAATTAAAACTTTTGTAGTTTTTTTTGATTACATAAAACTTTTAGAAATATGATTTATGTTTGGTTCAAATTATTTGAGAATTTTTAGATAGTTCAGCTTCAAAATAGATCTTCAACCTACATGTTTAAGTGTTCAACAACACGAAGATATCACAATTATTTCACTTAATTTTAAAACATTATTAATTTTCAATTATAACTTAATTAATTTATTATCTAGAAAAATAATAAATATTTCTATCAATTTAATTAAATAACATTTTTTACTTCATTATAGTTAATAAAATATTTGAATCAATGTTTTTATTTTAAATTAATTTTATATTTTCGAATAAAATAAAATAACTTTAAAATACCTCTAATCTGTTATTGAATGCTATATTAATTTCATTACTCAAGAATTTAAAGTATTTTTTTTTTTTTTAGATAATAAATNGAATGCTATATTAATTTCATTACTCAAGAATCAAAAGTATTTTTCTTTTTTTTTTTTTTTTTAATTTTAATTTTATTTTATGGACAAGCAGTTACTACTATTGAAGGAAAAAATTCAATGACTATGATGGATGGATATTGGTTATGCTTCCTTCATTTCAGTCACTAATCTGGTATGTCGATATGATTCATTATACTGCTATAATACTGGAAAATTCTTTTAATTTTTAAATTACATTTTAATATTGCTATTATTAATAATTAATTAAATTACTAGTAATGATATCTTAAATTAATTTTTAATTTTTATTTTTTCTTAAATATTTAAATATAACTTATTTTGATCTCATTATAATTTATTAACTTTAATTTTTTTTCATAATTGATTAAATATTCAATATTTTTTAACTTAAATTTTAATTAACTTTACTTAAAAACATTTTTTATTTAGTAACCAGACTTTAGTGACTAGCTCTATGGATCAATAAGGAATTACAGTACAAGTTCTACTTCTCTTCAGACACAATTGTTGAATAAATCAATAGATTATTATCATTATTGATAAATCATTTTATTTGATGATACAGAATAAATGAGAAGATATCACAATATGATCGATGAAAATTTTATTGCATAAAATAGTATTCTTTTCAACTTGATACTTAATTTAAAAATTTGCCTTTCAGATTTTGACATATTGTAATTGTAAATGTCAGTGAAAATATAATTATTTGACTATTTTATAATTAATAAAAATTAAAAGCTGAAAAGTATTTTTATAGAAAAGATATTAAAAAATATCTAATATTTTAAACAAAATTTTATTTTTAAAGTATTCAAAAAATATAGTAAAGAAATTCAAGTTATTTTTCATGACTTAGTATGTTTACTTTAGATAATTTGCTATATAGTCATATCATTTAACTGTAAAATTTATTGATATTAATGAGTAACTTTCAATTGTTTATGTTGAGGTTAAATTTACTAATAGAATTTTTGTATGAACTCAGCTAGATTATATATTAAATTTTATTTTAAAACCTTTAAAATTATTTAAAATTTATTATTAATGAGTGCATTAATACCATAAGATTATGTTTTCACTCTTCAATAGTTGATGGAGAAATAAAAATTTGTATATAATCATTCTAGAATTAAGCAAGCCTACAATAATATTGTACAATAATTATAAAAAGCATCAAGGAATTTTAGAATCTCAGAAAAACTAGCTGTAATCATAGAGAAATTTAATTCAAGTATACATTTTAAAGTACAATACACTAAAGGAAATTTTCACATCAATTTTAGATTCAATTTAGACTTAAACAGGGAGATACTTTGTCTCCTGTAATTTTTTAATATAGCGTTCGTAAATAAATTCAGATGTATAAATAAGTCATGACATAAAATAAAATGATAAAAATATCTTGTAAAACGAGTAATATAATATTAGTAAAGACAAGTCACAAAATAAATCTAGTTATTAACAAAAACAAATGATATATTTAGTTATAATTAGATGTTGGCAAAATAACTTACACCTTATATAAGTAAACCTAATTTTTGAGTAGTACTAAATACTACTTTTATCATTACAATAACAATATAATACAAAAATGAAAGCTTACTATTTTGTGAACATTAATGATGTATGCATAGAAGCATAATCCTTAACACAAGAAGATGAAAAGAAACTATTCAAAATAAAAATGGATTTAATGAGAGATGAAAAATTATGATTTAAAAAAGTTATACTTTAAATAAAATTAAATAAATTTTTTAAAACTAAAAAATTAGAATGGGCCAGTCACATGTGTTGAGAGAATATCAATAGTGCATAGAATTTCCAGTTAAGAAACTCAATCAATAAAATAAATACAGGAAGACTTGATCAGTAGTGGTTAAAAAGGAATATCTCTGATACTAATGAATAAATGAGGACAAAGATTAAATTAGATCTGGACAAATGTTGAAGTTTTGTTAAAGCGTGTAAAAGACTTCAATGATCTAACACTAAAAAACAATCCCTTAATACAGAATGCATATTAAAACCAAGCCAATTATCCGAGTAGTTTATCTTATTCTGATTAGAACCTAGTTTTCAAAAACAATTATTACCAAAAGAAGACCAATTACAGTAGAAAATGTAACACTATTATGTTAATTTTCATGTCAGTGTTGATTGTATGTAAAAATGTTTTATGATAATTTTAGCACAATTAAAAAATGAAATAAATTATTAAAAATTCTGGATATATGAAATTAATTACATGTTCAGATCACACAGTTCTGTGATATTAAAATTCAATGAGTTTTAAGAGTGTACCTTTGGCTATTTTATCAGTTAATATCTTTATTTTCTCAGTATTATTATCAAAAATGTTGATTTGTTACACATAATATTATTTATATTAATATCAAATGTGCCAATTAAATGTCAAAAATACAATATTATTTATTAAAAACACTGTCAGCTAACAGGTGCAGATTGAGGCATATTCGGGCCGCATTATTGTTTACACAGAAAATTTTTTTGCTCATCAATACAATAGTTTGAGAAAAATTTAATTATTAGGGGTTACTAATATAATAAACCTGTAAATTTATTTTAGTTATAATAAGTAAGCCTCCTCGTCTATCGGGTCTATATTACAATAATTGTAGCACTTTTAAACATTTAAAATCAATTATTCGTCTATGGATTCATAATAAATGTTAGTGTAACTATATGATGTACAATAAAAAAAAAACACATTTTTTTAAAGCCAATCTTATATTAAAATAATTAATTTAAAAAAAATAAGTACTATTATTTTTGGTTAATACTTTTGAACTTGCACGTCATCACATTTCAATTTCAATAAATGATAAAAATTAACTCTAATCTTCAAAATTTTGTGCCAATTTGTTTATCTAATAAAAATTATGATTGTTTTCAATTATCACATTTATTTTGTTCATGTGTGATATAAAATTACTTACATAATATGATATAGTCACTTGTAACTAATATTCAAAATTAAAAAATATAATAAAAATGTAATAAATTGTTTACATTTTATTACGTTTAATAAATTGTTTACTATCTATTGAACAATTCATAAAAATGCCTTTGTATTTTAAAATATTCAATCCCAAATGAACTTAGATATTTATGAATAAAATTCTCAAATTTTTAAATATTACTAGTTTTATTAAATTTTTCTTTAAACTAATTACTTATAAATATGAAAAACCAAAATAATTGTTAGGTGAGACGAAATAAACATTTGATATTTTTATAATGTCAAACTTGAAAAAATAAAGAAATAGTGGCATCAAATTTTTTTTATATGAGTAAAACTATTTTGTTAATGTGACATTATTATATCTATAATAAGTACTATTTTATATTTTTTTGCCACTAATTTTTTGTTATTTATAATTCCTTAAAAAGTTCTCTAGATAATATTTTTATATATTAACTTAGTTTTTCATTATGCAAATAGGGGAGAATCATCAACACTTAGATGACCGAAAAACTCATTTTGATTCTAGCCCTGTTCATTATGATCATGTTGGTTAGTAAATCATTTTTTTTTTTTTGGTTTGAAAGTATAATATAATAATAATTAATTTTTATAGAAANTTTTTTGGTTTGAAAGTATAATATAATAATAATTAATTTTTATAGAAAAATGTTATGGATTAAGCCCTTGTAGACAGTCACATGATCGTAGTTTATCCCCTTTATTGAATAATCGACCTCCTTCTCCTCCTTTGCCGTACTCTCCGAATTTAGATCGTTTTGTGGATTCTGATATTGTTCATAGAGAACCAATAAATTCAAGATCAGAAAATGTTCATGGTCGGGCTAGTAAAAAGAGACACGAAAACTTTTTAGAACAGTAAGTGGAAAAAAATATTTATTCAATATTAATGTTCAAACGGTTTAATTTTCGAATTGAACCAAACTTAGGATGTTAGATTCAGTTGGAAAATTGAACTTGAAATTAAAAAGTACCAAACCAAAATTACTTTAACTTTAAATAA